GCCCAGGGCTGAATGTGTATGTAAATCCAAGAAGACCCACCAAGGCTGAGAACATTCACACCAATCTGAGTAGTGCTGGTGAGCAAAGTTGTGACTGCTAGTTCTGTTAGAGTATCTCAGCTAAGGTTTTAGGGTCCACTGTAGCGTTAGGGTAAGAAAAGGGACCTAATAGTCAAGGACAGTCCAAGCTCCCACATCTACCCACGCAGGAGCCATACAGATAGAACAAATTTCAGAAGATAGTTAAGATTATGGTACAGATGAGTGGGGTCTCATGGGATTTTGCTGCCCATCAGTGTCTAAGACACAACATATTCACTGCCACTAGTAGGAGTGGGGGTCAGGAGAGTAGTTCTTTTTCCAGAGTAGGCAGGTTAGGAATTTAGCAATAGTGACAGAGAGCAGGTTACCAAAGTTAGAAAAAAACAAAAATATAATGACTTTATAAACCTGATTTAGGCAGAAGTAGAATATACTGGTTCTGTAGGGACATGCTTCCACTATAGATTTCAAATATATAGAGGAAACTAGGGATAGAATTTTAAACACATTGCCCAGTCAACTGTGTTTAACAAATTGATAGATTATTTTCGCTTCCAATAGTTTTTTGATATAATTGTTTTTGAACTGTGTTAACAAAGTTGAAAGCTGCAATGGAATTAGAGATAAACTCTCTTAAGAACTTAGAGATGTGAAAATAACAATGTGTGTGATAAACATACATTTCAAATCCCTAATGCTTATAATCACTGAAAGTCAAATATTACGGAAAATGTAGTTCTACTACTTAGTTTCTTCTATCTTTGTCATAATTTCTTAATTCTTTATGAATGATTTTTTCTTAATAAGCACAAAGCAAATGCAAGAATTTTGTTGTAGGTAAGTAACTTTGCCTAATACTATTAATTACTAACAGCTCAATTATACTATGAAGTGCCTATAATTGTCATGAAGCTTCAAATATTCTTATTGTAGATTCTATTATGCATTCATTTATTTTACATTCATTATACAGATTTTTTAATGAAGCAGAGAGCTTGTGTTTTCAATTTTCACACTTAGAGACAATGATCAAAATATTTATATGCATATTACATATTTTGTTGACGTTCAGAAAATAATTCATTTACTCAGTACAATATTAGTACCTTTACATGGGAGAAAAAAAGCAGACCTGATTTTTCATGTTTGGATTTCTTTTAGGAAATGAAATATTTGAACTAGTTTTTAACAGTAATTAATGATGATTTTAAACCCATGGTTAGTGTTTCATTTACAAGCTCAGACTCCAGAGTCTGATTCCATTATTTCAGTTCAAACCTTCCTGGGCAAGTGACATTAACATTCTGTGCTTGAGTTTACTCCTCTGCAGAAAAGGGATAATAACATTTTGTAGTAAGGATTTAAGGAGTGACGTCAAGTGTTTAAAACAATGCCTAACACGAAGTTAGTGCTATGTATTTTTCTTTATGTATGCTGCTTGAAAGGAGTTCAGTTTAACATGCAAATTAATGATGCCCAAGTTCACCTGTATAAAATAGGTAGGGACAATTCTTTAAAATTTCATGAAAGCTGTATTAGGTAACCTTGTGGGTTAAATCTTAAATCCCAAAATATGGATTTTGGGAGTACTCCCCCTTGTAGCATGGCTTTGAACAGTATAATAGTGAAAATTCTCTACCTTTCAAGTTGTTAAAACCGGTATGACCAATAACTTAACTCTGACCATATGGGAACACACGGAGAAACTAAGACATCCAGAAATAGTAGTTTTTAGATTCAGCCAAGGTTGGTACTAGGAGATGAGGAGAAGCTCAGGCAGAGGTTGAAGAAGAAACATAAATTAAAGCCAGGTCTAGTGTCTCAGATAATCCCCACTTTCTCTCCACTCTTTCATTTTTTCCTTCTCTCTCATATATCCCAGCTCCCAGGGTTGGCCAGAGGATATTGAACCTAGCCCTTCAACAGAAAGCCTGTGTGGGAACAGAAGTTTTCTATAAAAATGCAATGTCCATGCTTTCTTTTCACCACTCAAACCAAACAAGAACAATTAAAAAACAACTTGATATGCTTTCCTCATGTATGGCAGGCTGTTTGTTACCCAGAAGTTCTAACTATATAAAATAGGGGGCTTCTGGAAGACATTCGTTGAATAGCTGCTTGTTTGTTGTTAGAAATCCTTTCCCCTTCATGATTCTATATATAAAAAAACCCTAAAGACTCCACCAAAAAACTATTAGAAACAATAAACAAACACAGTAAAGTTGCAGGATACAAAATCAATGTACAAAAATCTGTTGTATTCATAAATATTAACAATAAAATATCAGACAAAAAAAGAAGAAAACAATTTCATCTGCAATTGAAACATAAAGTAAAAATATCTAGGAATAAACTTACAGGAAATGAAGGACCTATACACTGAAAACTACAAGACATTGTTGAAGTTGAAGAAGACATAAGGAAATGGAAAGATACTCTGTGTTTATGGATTGGAAGAATCAACATAGTTAAAATGGCCATATTACCTAAAACAATATAGAAGTTTAATGCAATCCCCATCAAAATTCCAATGGCATTTTTCAGAGAAATAGAACAAAAAGGTCCTCAAATTTGTATGAAACCATAAAAGACCCCTGAGAAAAAAGAACAAAGGTATCACACACCCTAACTTAAAATTATACTATAAAACTACAGTAATGAAAACAGTATGGAGTTGGCAGAAAAACAGACACACAGACCAATGGAACAGAACTGAGAGCCCAGAAATAAATCCACATGTATATGGGCAACTCATTTTAGACAAAGGAGCCAAAAACATACAATGGAAAAAGGAAAGCCTCTTCAATAAATGGTGTTGGGAAAACTGAAAAGCCATATTCGAAAAACTGAAACTAGACTGCTATTTTGACGCCATATACAAAAATTAACTCAGAATAAAGACTTAAGTATAAGACCCGAAACAAAAAAATACATAGATGAAAACAAAGATACTAAACATATGGGACTTGCTCTCAAAGCTTTTGTGAACTGGATCCCAAAGGCAAGAGAAGTCAAGGCAAAAATAAATGAATGGGACTACATCAAACTAAAAAGCTTCTGCACAGCAAAAGAAACCATCAACAAAACAAAAAGGCAAACAACCAAATGGGAGAAGATATTTGCAAACGATACCTCCCATAAGGGACATATTGATATCCAGAATACATAAACAGCTCATGTAACTCAAGAAGAAAACCAAACTATCCTATTAAAAAATGGGCAGAGGGCCTCAGCAGACATACAAATGGCCATCAGATATATGAAAGATTTTCAACTTCACTATCTTTATGGGAAATGCAAATCAAACCCATAATGAGATATCACCTCATACCTCTTAGAATGGCTGTTATCAATGAGACAAGCTATGACATATGTTGGAGAGGATGTGGAGGAAAGGGAGCCCTCATTCCCTGCTGGTGGGGATAGAGACTTGTACAGCCACTGTAGAAAGCAGTCTGGAGGTTCCTCCAACAAAGAATACAGCTACCATCTGACCCAGCAACCCCTCTTCTGGTTATCTACCGGAAAAATTTAAAAACATTTATTTGTAAAGATATATGTACCCCTATGACCCTGGCAGCACTATTCATGGTAGTCAAACATGGATGGTTGAATAAAGAAGATGCAGTACATATATGCAATGGATACTACTCAGCATAAGAAAGGATAGAAAAACTGCCGTTTGAGACCACACAGACCCTGAGAATATCATGCTAAGTGGAATAAGTCAGGTGAAAAGGGCAAGAACCATAGGATTTCACTCATATGTGGGATATAGAACAGAAAGCAACAAACAAACAAGCAAACTCACAGACACGGGAAACTGTATGAAGAAGGGCTTTGGGGGACGATAAAGAGGGTGAAGGGGTCAAATGTATGGTGAAGGGGAGACTAGACTATGGGTGGTGAGCGCACAGTGCAAGCAGCATGCACATGGTGAGTTATAGAACCGTGCAACAGAAAATTATATAATGTTATTAACCAGCATCACCCCAGTAGATTAGTTACAACAAGAAGTCCCATGCTCTTGGAAACCTTATAGCAGAGGGCCTTTAGGATGTATCAACATTGGTTTTAAAATACATTTGTGACAGCATATCATGGTGGATGGCTTAGGTGGAAGGAGGAGAAAAAGAGAAAGGAAATGTGTATGGATGTTTCCCTACTGGGGTGCTGGGTTAAGTATGCCCTGACCAGTCCTGGGGAGGCGGCACATATGAGAGGAAGGAGCGGAAGGAAGGATTAGCCGGATTTGGGTTATTGTGGTAATATTTACTTTACAAGATTATATACATACTTAGCTTCATATTCTTAACATTTTGTCTACATCTCCCAATCGCACAGAAATAAAAAGTCTTTAATTTCTTTTTTTTTTCTTTTCCTTTTAGCAAATGCTCTGTGCAACCTCGCTAACAATTTGCTGCTTTTGTTGGGTGATTTAACTTGATTACTTCAAATTTGATCTTATTTCTTGGAATGGACTGACCTGCATTTAAGCTATATTCAGTTTAGCTTGATAGTCCGCTTGCGGCTGAAGTCTTCCTGGTAAACCTCTCTGCAATTTAAATCCACTGATAGGTTGCTCAGTGAGGAAAAAATACTGTGAAAAATATTTGCTTATTAATTTCTAATTCTAGGTTTTTCTTATATGCGTGTATATCCTGGTAAGCCATATACATTTTTAAAATCTAGAAATACAGAAACCTCACTTAAAACAATGCTTTGAAGCTTTACCTCGGGGTAGAGCTGGTTTGATGGTTTCCTCTCCCATTCTCCTGGCCCACAGGGCAAAGCAGTGCCCATGAATTGCACTGCCTGGAAGGCAGGTCAGTAAAAGCATAAACAAGGAGAAACAGACGAGGCAAGAAACCAGAGAATACACTCTCAAGTCTTGAGTAACTAAGTGTTGACTGTTGTTTGGAAGTTACACAAACACTGAGATGTGATTTTTCTTTTAGGTGGGAAATGAGGAAGGACGAAAGACTAGAAGAGGAAGAAAAAGCAATGCTGGAACATTTAAAACGAATTTGCAACTTCCAGGACTCTTCTGCCTCAGATAACACAGAAGAAGAGTAATCTGCAGAACACGGCAACAGCTTTATTTTAGGAAATAATCACATATAATGGAATAGGATTTTTACTACAGTCAGGATGAACCTCAGATGGGCTGTGAAGCATGAAACCAATGACTGAGTAATCTCTGAACTGAAAAGGAATGTAGCACATAAAAAATAAAGTGCTGCATATTTTTTATTTTAAAAATAATTTCAAATGTTTTTCTTTCCTCAGTCTTTCTCTTTAGATGATAATAACTGCTGCCATCTCGTGTTCCCTTTGAATTATTTTTCTTCTTTCAGTCTTGAAATATCTATGACAACAGGCAAAATGTTTGGAAATCTTTTCCCTAAAGATTTTTAAATACATTTGGATGTTAAGTTGAATGGAGTCACATGGCCCCCTGAGTCATCTGCAAATTTCAATCTAATTTTGTAGCTGTATCCCAAGTCCAGGTCTTACCAGCTTCCTTTCCCATAGCCTCTTTCTCGTCCAATTGATCTTAATCAGAGCCACAAAAAGCACTCTTCGGAAGTGTAGCTTTATTCATATCTCTGCATATAGTGTTTTTTTAAACATTAGTTCCAATCATACATAGTACTTTCAGATCCTATACCCAGTGGCTCCATGTTCAGGCAACTGCCAGTCACTCCCTTGGCTCAAGCCACATGCTTACCATTTTCCCAACCAGAAACCATCTTTCTCACAAAATTACGTTCAAAACTGACTCCAGCAATCTCTACTCTACAGCTCATTATCTATAACTTCTGTCATTTCTCTTATTTCCATTACATTATACACACAAAGGAAATGGAATGTGTTCTAGCACCCTGTGTGCCAAGTTATATAGACTATAACCTTCCTATCAGTGCCTGATGTTAGATTCTAAAAACTTTAAAGGCCTTACAGTATAACAGAAGTCTTCTTTTATAACAATCATCTTCCCAAATACCTACCACAAAGTCACTCATCCAGTCAAGAGTTAATAAACATACTTGTTTGAATGACTGCCACTGAAAGAAGACAATGAAGACATTTAGACTATTGATCAATCTACAGGACATCTGGGAGAAACTTTATATCATGAGCTATTTTAGACCATATGACACTGAATGTCATTGAATTTATTTCTGATGTTCTCAGATTATCCATGTTCCCATGTTCTGTAATTTTTACAAAACATATGTAGGCATTTCTGTATGACTCCCTTTTCAAAGTATAGTAAGAGGAGAGTGGGGTGAGTTGGAAGGAGAGGAAAATAGAAGAGAGAAGGGCTTGCAGTTGAATTCTCTTCTGTACTTGCTCAGTGAAATTACTGTAGCTATAAGTACAATAAAATTTATAACTGGAAATGTTAAGTGACAAGTCACTGATTTATCAATCATTTTAACTCTATACTTGATATGTTTCTTAAAGTATAAGAAGTAATATTTCAAAAGGGTTTCCTTTCTCACAATTATTTTGCATTTGTATATGTTATCAACAGGAATGAATACTTCATAACTCCCCATATGCTTACTATAAAAATATTATATTCCTATAAAATATTATCTTACTCACTGTTATGTTTAACTGCATTTTTGTAATTATAAAGAGGTATCTATTTTATTATTGGTTTAGCAGTTATTATGTGGAAACAATATGAATTTTTAATAAAATATAGATGGAAATGTGTATTTCAGATATTTTACATTTTTAACATCTCTGCCAAACACTGTTATAGAACTACCAAACAAGAAATGGGAAAAATAAATCAGCTTGTTTGTCTACCAGTATGAGCTTACTCAAAATGTCCTATTATTCCAGTTCTTAAATTTTGAGTCAAAGAGATCTTCAGGTCATTTGTAATTAGTAGTTTACTACAAAAAATATTTAAGAATTTTTATGGTTTTCGTTATACTTGAAATATTTCATAATAAAAATATTAAAAAGCTGCATCAAGACTTAAAAAGGAACAAAATCCTGTCACATGTTACATGAATGAACTTTGAAGACATTATAAGTGAAGTAAGACAGTCATGGAGAAGACAGATAGTGTATGATTCTACTTATATAACGTATCTAATGTTGGCAAATTCATAGAAACAGAAAGTAAAATGGTGGTTACTTGGGACTTGGGTAAGGGAAAAAGTATTTTAATGGGTATAGATAGATTTTCTCATTATTACAAGATGAAAAAGTTCTGGAGATCTGTTTCACAACAATGTGAATATACTTATCACTATTGAACTATACAGTTAAAAATGGTTAAGATTATATGTTATGTTTTTACCATAACTAGAAAAGAAGCACTGCTATAGGTGGAATCTCCACAAATAAACATTCCTAACATGACGCCTGAAAGCTCTTAGGTTTTAATAGGGAACTATGAGACCAGCAGATTCTACATAATGATAAAAACAAACAAACAAACAAAACCACTATCTGCCTTGCCTTTGAGGCATGTTTTCAACAGCATCACCAGTAAAGCAATAAACCCTTGTTTCTCCAGAATTCAAAACAAAGAATCCAAAACATTGTAAAACCTTTTTCCCCAAAAAATATTGTAATAATTACTTGCATGAGTAAAGGTCTGTATTAGTTCCTTATTGCTGTATAACAATAGTACCGTATTTGGCAGCTTAAAACAACATACATTTATTATTTCATAGTCTCTGTGTGTCAAGTGCCTTGCCAATAATGCTAACCCTTGAGCTGCCACCTGCAATGAAGGGAACTCAAAACTCGCAGATTCTTTCTGAGGAGCAAAGGATTTGAATTCCACATTGGGCATCCCAACTTTTAAGATCTGCATCTGAGAGACGAGCCCCCAAAACATCTAGCTTTGAAGACCAACAGGGCTTATGTCCCCTCTAGGCTATAGTGATATGAAAAATGACTCTTAAAGGGCTCAGGGTTCAGAACTCACTTGCGCCCGGGCCAGGCACAGAATAGTAGCATGTAGAAAAAGTAAGAGACAACTATAGCATCCAGTGAGGACTACCTTTTGAAAAGAGAACCACAGATTTTGCTGGAGATTGGATGTGGAATGTCAGAGAAAGAGAAATCAAAGAATGACCTGAACAACTGTAAAAATCAATGTGCCATTTACTGAGGTGGAAAGACGTGCAATAGAACAAGTTTTGGAGGTAGAAAATATAGAGTTTTAAATGCATGTTAAAATGCATATCTATCCTAGTAGGTATGTTGAATAAGAAGTCAGATGTATGAATACAGATATCAAAGAAGTCAGGGCTGGATATGGATATTTAGAAGCCATCAGCACAGTGATGCCATATAAAAGACAGTGAAGGGCCCAGCTGGGCGTGGCTCAGCGGTTGAGCATCAACCTGGGATCTAGGGGATCCGGGTTCGATTCCTGGTCAGGGCACATGCCTGGGTTGCGGGCTCCATCCCCAGTCAGGGGAGTGCAGGAGGCAGCCGATCAATGACTCTCTCATCATTGATGTTTCTCTCTCTCTCTCTCTCTCCTCTCTCTGAAAGCAATAAAAACATTTAAAAACTAAATAAATAAAAAATAAAAGACAGTGAAGGGAATGGATGAGATCACCTGGGGAATGAGGTTGGATAAAGAGGGGAAGAGATCTGGGGCACACTAACATTTAGAAATCAGGAAGACTCCAGCAAAGGAGAATCAAAAGAGCACTGTGATTTCACAAAAGTCAAATGAAAAAAGAAGTTTCAAAAACAAGGATGTGCTTAGCTGTTTCAAATGCTGTTGAGTGGTCAAGTAAGATGAAGACTAAGAGCTGCCCCCTAGGATTTATCAGGATTGTTTAAACGTGCAGATAGCTACACAAACTCTCCTTTCTTTTTTTTTTTTAAATAGGTTTAATCCTTATTGTTTTAAGTATTGCGGATGTCCCCCTTCCCC